GCACCAACGGTGCCCTGACTAAGGATGCCTGGACTAAAACCCAATTCATATGGTCATGTGTGAAGACATGATGGAAGAGATGGGATGAGATGCGTTTGAGCTGTTGAGTTGTAGTGGTGGGAATATTGCCACCCAAACAGAGTGATGTTTGTGTGGGAAGTAACCCAGAGAAGAGATTTCGCTGGAGAGAGAAACATCACCTTCGTGAAGCTTATTAGCTCAAGTTAAATATCATTCATGTGCTGTGGCCTGTGGCCTGTGGGGGCACTTAAGAAAAAAAAGTTCCCCAGAAAAACAAAATCCAAATTCCAAAAGCAAAAGATATAAGATTTGTCGATTTCTCATGTGAATCAGTTAGAGGTGAAGACGGTTGTAGACATATACCTACATTTGAGTGTACGAAAAAAGTGTACATACGTACCCGAGCCCGTTCACGCGTGACCGTTCAATTGGAACCCACGTCCACATTGTGGAATGCAGGGGTGGTGGTGGGCAGTGGAACCCCATGCCATGCCCATAGCATCTTGTGCGCCTAACAAGAGTTCAGTAGTACGTGCAACAGTGTAAAACTGTTCACAAAATGGGTAACAGTAGTATCTTGGTTGCAGTGCAGCTGTGCAGGTGTACAATGGTGAATGGTGAAGTCTCATGGCGGGCGGCGATGGAGAAGTGTCCTCCAATGAGGGGTACAAACTACAAAGTGGGTCCACATCAAGGCCTCATGGGTCAAAAGTTTTAGGGCACAACACAAGCTGGATGATGCCTGCCTGTAGTCAAAGTGGCCAGTAGGAATGTAGTAGGACCTATCCACCGCACAGTGTCTGTCGGTGTCGGGGTGGCACAGCAAGAGCAAACCCTCAGCCTCAAGTGTGACTCTGATGAGTGGGTTTTCTTATTTCCATACAATCCCAAAGTCAAGCGATTTGGTCGGGAGATGTGTATTGTTGTGAATGGTTAATGGGAAGGTTGGGATTTTGGTTTTTCTTTTCACGTAGTAAAAGTTGATGATTTTGAGGCTTTTAATTAAGATTTGATACTCTTTTAATCTGGATTTTGGTTTCAAAGTGGTGGGCCTATACATTGCCAAGACCCAAGAGGRCTCTCTCTCTCTTTCTACAGTTATATTGGATAGGCATGATAGGTGTTTGTTTATTTGTTTGTGTAGTTTGCAAATTGCAAGTGTATGCGGAGAGAGTGAGTTGGTGAGGATGTGTTTGTGTTAAGTGAATGGTGATGCGCGCGGGTGCATGCGTGCGCGTGAGGCTCCCGAGGGGTAACTGGTCACTCAGATGTGGCCATGATGGGCTGCCACCAGCTGCTAGCCACATGATATCACATTCATCACACTTATTCCAAATCATTTCCTTCGTCTCTTAAAAACTGCAAGGCTTATTTCTAACTCACAATTTCACATCATTACATTCCCAATTCCATCCTCTCTCTCTCTCTCTCTATTCTCTGCCATTATCGTTTTAGTTTAAATAGGGTTGTTTCAATTGTTTAATTAAACGTTGAAAACTTTATTTTTTTTTTAATTCACATTCAATCTTAAAAGTGAAAAACACCCAATACTAGTCTTACAGATATGTGTACTTGGGAAAGAATCAAAGATAAGGAATCCATCATACAGTGAGTCCCAATAAGATTTTGAAATTCATTTTACTTTCATGATGACAACCGTGTAATTCCACTCCGATTGACGTTTTGATTTTGGTGTCAAAGATTAATTACAGAGCAAAACTTCAAATTCAAGGCCCCCACTGGTACACATAATATCCTTTATTAACGTATGTTATTACAATTTACAAACTAATGCTCTAAACACTGGTTGAACGAAAAATGGTGTTTCACCAAATATAGGATTTAAAAGCTAAACTTCTGCCCACAAAAAAAAAAAAAAGACAAGACAAAAGYTGAACCTCTGAGCTTAGCATGGTTCAACCATGGAGAAGTACACTGCAGTCCAATACAGAATTCTGAAATTACAGTCCCCAATAGTCTACTAATAACTCCCCCTATAAACTGCATTCTTATCAATCCATGGTCAGGATTCATCCCCTGTATGATGGGGCTAAAAAATTCTAGCTGAACTGATCAGTCATTCTTCCGTTTTTTTTTTAATCCAATTTAGAGGCTGAACAACATTTTCGGGAGTCATCATAATAACAAGGGAGAATGACTGATCAGCCCAGAATTAATGCCAAATCACAGGCGGGCATTGGTCATATAGTGTGGGTTGTGGTCATTTTGAATATTTATAGCTCTGCAGTATAAATCAATAATCTGCATTGAGCAAATCTGTACTTCTCCCTAATAACAATTCAATCGTCTGATGTCATTAATAGATAACTCATGATGTCATTATTCTGAAAAATTTAAAAGAATGGTTAAATGGTTGATGGCTTAACTGTCCTGCTTGATCGATCATTGACCCAATCAATATTTTTCAGTAATACAGCAGGTTAGAGATTGACCAGAATCAGGATTATGTCTGAATCACCATATCACCACTCCAACCAAACGGAACAATTGAAAAAAAAAATAAAAAAAAATAAAATACCTAGGTTCAACCATTTAATTAGTCACTGTGAATGGTCTAAGTGGTTCCATGGCATCTGATCTGGGTATAATTTTGGTCTGAGTTTTAAAAATAGGAACCACCCCGTACCTATGTGGTCTTAGATTTTTAGACTTTTTATTGACTAATATATATACGAACAAAGAAATTAATGGTGTATGGAAAAAGTCCTTAGAATTCACAAAATAAAATCTTTGGGCTCTTCTTCGTTCGTCTTTACATGCCTAACGCGTGTAAAAATTTAAGTATAAAACCAACATATAAAATGCAATGGGAGATGCATATGTAAAACTCAATCTCACTTTATTGAACCACCATTTTTCTTTAACTCTCCTAAAAAAACCCAATGTGTGATATTCATTAGCATTTGCTAATTATAAAAGTGCCATTAAATATTTTCTTGAATTTTCTATTAATTACAAAAGTTCCATTAGAAGCAATCATTGCCTCTTTTTAATTATGCATATGGTATTAAGTTTTCATGTAATTGCAAGAGTGTCATCAACATGTAATTACATTATTACCCCCTAGGGTTATCAATGATTCGGGTTGGACCTGATGGACCCAAACCAATTGGGTCAATTTGGAATAAGTTCCTAATATATTGTCCCGATTTTTGTTGGGTCAGAGCCTATTCTACCTAGTCACGAATTATAAATATATTATTTATATTGCATTTTTGTAAATTTGTTATATTATTTATTTTTTTATAAAAAGCATGTATATATGATGAAAATAAATATATTATTTATTAATTTTAAAAAATTAAATTGGATTGGATCATATTCAAAAATCCGACTTTCCCATCGGATTCGAATTCAGACCCATGTTTTATCATATACTATTGGATCTTCGAATTGGATCTACAATTAATAGTGTCGGATCAGATTTGGATATACCCCTAATTCAAATCCGATCCAATCCATCTGCATCCCCAGTCAATTGGTCGGGTTGAACATAATGGGCCTAAACCGATTAGGTTAGTTCAGTTTTCGATTCATGATATATTGTCCCAATTAATTTGGAGCTAGGTCTAAAATTATATACATTAAATTGGAAATTTGTGAGTCTAATGTGAGCTCGGGCTAGGCTACAATATTGGGCCAAAGCTTGGGCTAAAATTTGTAGGGCCAGGCCCAGACCAAGCGTAAAGACAAAACTTAGGACCAAGCCTAGAATTTTTGGGCCAAATTAGGCCTTTTCATCTACATCTCTTTAACATCCCAATTGAAATCCATGAAACAAAAGAAAATTAATATTTTAAAACATTTCCTCTTCTCTCAATCTCTCTCTCCAAGAATTCATCCACTTTCTCCCATCCCTCCCCCAATTCTCCCAACCCCTCTAATAGTACACACTTGTTAAAATGTCTTAGTTAAATGTATTTTCTTAAGATTTTATTAATTATTTTAAAGTTATTATTTGTAATTGTAAAATTATTTATTTTAAAATTTGAGTAACTAATATAATTTAAGTATTTAATTATATTAACTAATATTAATAATTAATTGATTTACCATAATTAATAAATTAAGTTAAATTAACTAATTAAACAATACTAAATTAATTTGCTTCATTTATTCAAATAGTTAGCATCAAATCTACCTATATGAATAAAATTATTAAATGTGGTGTTATATTCTTATCAGTGTTGCAGGGGCACTCCACTAGTATATATAAAAGAACATTTGGGAGAACAAAGTAGAGAAGTCGGGCCAACTGAACCCAAGGCCCAAACCCTATCATCATGTTTTTTTTCTTTTCTTTTTCTATTTTTTTTTTTTTTGTTGATGGAAGAAAAGGCTGAGCTACACAAGACTGGGGGTAGCTCTTCCCCTCAAATCAGCATAACCCTATCATCATGTTGGTGAAAAGAGCATGTCCCCTAATTCTAGATCAAGGCCTAGATATTATTTTGTTTGTAAACAAATAAAGAAGTAATTCTTTATTAACACTACAACTGTAATTGCAGTCCATGGCAGATCTCACAATTCACAAACTGTACTTCTCCTTCCTTAATCCAATAAATAGTTTCAAAATTTCAAATTCATTTAGCTCTAACAGAAAATAGATAGAATTAATTAATGGTAAAATAAAAATGAAGTTGATATCTAGACAGACGAAAGGAAGAGAAGATTACAAAAGGAAAAGAGAGAGAGAGTAATGCGTAATATCCAAATTCATATATTTGACTATATTAAATAAAATTGGGACTCCCACTACTAGAATGCGCGTGGGCGTGGGCTGAAATTCCATTCTCTCCATTCCTGTGTAATGAAGATCTCACCAAAATAATCATCCTCTCATTCATTATGTCTGCAATGATTCGTCTTGGTTGCCTCACACGCATGCCCCTCCCCTCCCTCATTCTCCTATCTCTCTTTCCATCCCTCTTCTCTCATTCTCTGCCCTATAAAATCACTCTCCTCTCTCTCACACCCTCCGCCCTTCCACTACTACCTTCCCTTCTTATAAGTTATTGCTATCTATAATCTGCCTCTCACATCTCTATCATCATCTACCCATTTCATGGCGCTCTCTGGGTTTGAAGGTTTTGAGAAACGCCTGGAGCTTCATTTCTCTGGCGACAACCCCCGGCCGGTGATTGGCATCGGCCTCCGACAACTCGACGTCAAAGCAATAGAAGAAGTCCTCGACGCTGTCCAATGCAACGTTGTATCGGCTGTCGGAAACCCATTCTTGGACGCCTATGTGTTATCGGAATCGAGCCTGTTCGTCTACCCAACCAAGATAATCATCAAGACATGTGGGACTACCCAGCTCTTAAAATCAATCCCTCCGCTGCTATTTCATGCTCGTCAGCTGGGTCTTCTCCTGTGTGGGTGCAGGTACACTAGAGGCAACTTCATATTCCCTAAAGCCCAGCCTTTCCCTCACACCAGCTTTAGAGAGGAAGTGGTGTACTTGGAGCAAAGGTTACCGAGCAATCTGTGTCACAGAAAAGCTTCTATTATGCCTTCCAAGGCAAACACAAAGATGTCATCATCAGTACACTCGTGGCATGTCTACTCTGCCTGTGATGAACACCGCATGGAGTTGGAAACATTTTCAAATGTGTTCACTATAGAGGTATGCATGACCGAGCTTGATCGTGTGCTTGCCCGTAAATTCTACCGACGGCCAGGAGACGGCAACTCCGGCGATGTGGCTGGGAAGGAGATGACGGAGTTGACGGGTATCGGCAACATCAACCCACGTGCACTCGTGTGTGACTTCGCGTTTGACCCATGTGGGTACTCGATGAATGGCATTGATGGGGCCAAGTATTCGACGATACATGTCACACCTGAACACGGCTTCAGCTATGCCAGCTTCGAGTGTGTGGGATTCATCGACGATCGACACAACATCGGCGAGGTGTTGAAGGAGGTGGTCCAAGTTTTCCGGCCAGCAGCGGTGTCTGTATCAACCACTTGTGTAGACCAAGACCAAGAGGTATGGACATATGTTGCAGGTGCGCTCGAGCCTCTTGGATTGAGTTGCCGAAGTAGCCTGATGGACGAATTCCCGGCTGCAGGAAACATCTCGTTCCAAACGTTCACAACTCACCGGAAGTAACCGGAAAAGGTTTGTATTGTTAATATATCATGCATACAAAATGAGAGAGTGCCGTAGCCTGTAGAAGCAGAGTAAATGAAAATTATTACTATTTTTTGATAATGGATGACATAGGGGCATATGGGGTTTAAGGTGATTGCCCTTAGAAGGACAAGGGGGGATGACGTGGAGATTTCAATGGGTGGGATCATCATGGTAATGCACCCCACTTAGGTGTGGCACGCCTAAGATTTTGAAGATGTATAGTGGAGAAATGAATCCGTTTCTGGAGTCCTCTTCTTAATTTGTTTAGATTATATATATATATATATATATATATATATATATATATATATATGTATGCTTCATTCTAGTACATAGATTATTAATATGGTTTCTATATCCACTAAACATTTGTAATTGCCAAATATCCCAACCTTTTAATTACTTCCATCTCACGGTCTATGGATTCCCCTATGGGTCAATTTGTTGGGTTAATATTTCCTTTCATACTTTTCTACTGGTCCAATGAAATATTGAAGCAGAGCACCAAATGGTTTGGGATGATTACATGAAAAATCCTATCCTGTAGGTGGCAGCAGCACCCATTCAGAGACTAGTGGGTCTCAGAGTTGAGTTGAGTGCTTTGTGCATGTCAGCTTTTTTGTGGAACAGTGTTAGAGACTTAGAGGTGCAATAATATATATGACGAAACTGGACTCTATATATAATAATTTAAGAGTTATTTTGAATCCCTGATTTGCAACCATAGCTCAAAGTTGTATATAATTGTATTTATCTTTGGGTGGTAAGATCAAAAATGTTCCCAAGGGCTGCAGATCTATACAAATTCGGTAGAACATCGATCTCTAACATGCAACGTGAGGCAAAAATTGAATTATTGATTCATGGAGTTATAGATTTAGACAGTTTTGATCATATAAGGGGGACCCACTACCAAGTGGGTCCGACGTATTTGTATTCTTCTTTCAGAAAACTGTAAACAATATGTTGGGAACAGATAAAGTAGCTACTAGCTAGGCATTTGAATGTTGATGATCATTGGATATGTGAGTGAAGTAAATTAACGTAGGAGGATATCACCAAAGTGGGTAATGGTGGATGCATGGATGCCATTTGGCAGCCCATTGCAGCAACCAAGGCCCACTCTCAGAAATTCACGAGACAAATGTTTTGACTCCTGAAATGTCAACGCAACATCCTTCTTCAAGGATTGCGGTTTTCAGTTGTTTCAAACGATACATTTTGGTTTTTGGACTACCTAGCCTAATGGGCTGGGTTTGGACCGTCTATGGACTTCACTTTACATTTCCATTAGGCCAATCTTTGGACTTGAATCCGGCTCCGTACCAAAAGGCAGTCAGATCATTATCAATTTTAAAGAAGGTATGGGCCTGATCCTGGCCCATATAGAGCCCGTACGTAATAGGGGGGCGCAGGAAAGGAAGCATCTTGTTCAAAGTTCAAAGGGGCATGACCTCTGGTTAATCTTCATACCTCGACGTCCAACATGATATACCATTGTTTGTATGTAAGTTTGGATGCCTTACTTTGAAACCTCAAGTAGCTTCATTTTTTTTTAATTAACTACTGAAATAATTAAAAGTTCTACACATATAATCAATCAAACTCTTCTGTGGTGGAGAGAGATAGAAGATTGATAAGGGTGGAGTGGAGAAGGCACTGGTAACAATTTAATCCTTGTTTATTTGTTCATTTTATGTGGGGGGGGGTCCCTCTCCTATGCTATGAACTATGGTGAGTGGTGACTTCAACAATTTGACAATATAATAATAATGTCCACTGTGAGACTGAGAAGTTGATATTGTGGAGTAGAGCAGATAGACACCTTGGACTTGGTAAAATCCAATGTGATTAGGCCGCTTAATGATCATGTTCCTTCCTTTTCAGCAACACCAATAATGCTATACACTGTAAAGTAATTAAATGACATTAGGATGTATTCTAGTGTTAATGTCACACCAAGGAGTTGTGTATATAAACATGTATATGGCATGTTTTACGTATATATATATATATATATATATATAAACATGTACATGGCATGTTTATATCTGCACATAACAATATCTCTAGGACAAAACTATTTATAATTTATGGATATTTTCTAAACAGTTATAAGTGGACAGTTTTTAAAATGAGAGTAAAAGGTATACATGCCCTCTTTATGTCTATTATATGCTAAGACAAGAGGGATAGAAAACGTCCATTGAAAATTCCAGCAAGAAGGGATATTCTCTCTTTTATAGGTAGTATAGATATGTATTCTCTAAGTGGATATTCAATATTGAGACTGAACTGGCTACAATTGTAATTACTCCTCTTTTATCTTAATCTAGTTTCAGTTAAACATGACCAAGCAAGCTTAGTTTTCCCAAAAAATGAACCTTATGTCGACAATATTTGATCTTTTTGTCCTATTGGAAATTAGAACTTGGTTAGGAAGAAACAAAAGTATACATCAAATTTGAACTAGGAGTCTCGGATATGCTTGCTGACCAGCATTATATTTCTATAAATACTGTTCGGGTCATGGCTGAGTTGACCCTGTCGGAAACGTGGCCGCCCAGTTATCACATGTGGCTGCCCAATTATCACCGGTCACGCCGGGCTAGCTCGGCCACATTGCTATACCTCGGCCGAGCTACGCTATTATGGTGGCCCCCCATCACGCTGGCCTAGCTCGGCCACGTCGGCATACCTTGGCTGAGCTAAGCTATTATGGTGCCCCCCATCTTCTCCTTTCAGCCACGTCAACCACACATCACGTAGATGAGCACAACCATGGACAAARACGAATAAGGAAGATGACTCCATCGGAGAATGGGACTCTATCCCGAATACTTGGCGGCTAACCTCATCCCGACAACCCCAGAAGCCCAATCCGATCAGGAAACAGACTATCCGGCTATAAAAATGTACTTCATGCTCGAGGTAAGGGACGCTTTTGGACTTCTAACACCCACACTGCTAATTAGCCCGGACCAGCATCCCTATAACTCGGCCCAGCCATCCACCACCTCCCACTGACTTGAGCATTGGAGTACTTACCTAGGTGTAATTCCTCGGGCCTCTGACTTCTTTCYTGATTGTAGATCGTGAAGCATGGCCTCGTCCTTGGAGTTCAGCCCCAACCTGCCAACAAGGACTATCTGATCGCCTTCCCCGGTTCGTGCACTACCTCAAATTGAGCAGCATCAGATTTGCGCCGTCTGTGGAAATGACACAAAAAGCCTTCCCCGAAAATCTCGTTCCTCGCCGCGCGATTAAGAAAACAAAAAGATGCCTAAAAACCAGTTTGAACGATTAGTTGGCCATTCCCCGTCTCGAGAGAACCGACATCGTGGCTCCCTGCACCAAGAAGTATCGCAACCTTCAGCTGCGGAAAATCAAGCGCAATTCCGAGTCATGCAAGAAAAGGTTGATAGGATCTTTGAATCCATGCAAGCATTAGGATCTGCTCCGCCACCTAATCGGGCTATCCCCCCTCACGCCCCGACACGCACGAAGGACGATCCTCGAACCGAGGACCCCAAAGCACGCTGGTCAGATGTAAGGGGAGAGTGGTCTAAGCATATGAGGCAGGACATGACCCGAAAGCCCGCCGCCATTACCCGTTCCTGTGGACGGGACTACCGTAGCCAGACACACCAGTCAGTGCACATCCCCGCCAAAGAAAGTCTCGGCAAAAAGATGCCACCCATTGTGGTCTCCGTCGCCGAGTAAAGTTTGGTCAAGGATCATCCCACATGACCCAAAAGGGAGGCCGTCCACACTACAGCCCTAGACAACAAAGATGTCGAGATTAAGGAGCTCCAGAAACGTCTAGAAGAGTTAGAGTGCACTTCCACCCATAATAGCACAATTCCCACAGTGGACTAACCTCTGCAGGCCTCTGTGCATATCACCAAGCAGCCACCCTTCGTCCAGGACATCATAGATGAGGTACCCCTTGTCGGATGGTGAGCTCCCCAATTCAACAAGTACAACGGGAACTCCGACCCCTTCAACCATATCGCACCGCTCCAAGCCCAAATGATGCTATACGGCGCGCCAGAGGGACTGATATGCAAAGCCCTTGTAACCACGCTGCAAGGCCCAGCCTTGGCATGGTACTCCTCCCTGCCGCCGAGGTCTATAGCATCATGGGCCCAACTGGAGACCCAATTCCTGGCACAGTTCACAGCTAGTCAAAAGCATTGGAAAACCTCGGCTAGCCTCATGTAGGTTCGACAAAGAAAGGCAGAGTCCCTTAGAGACTACCTGGCGAAGTTCAATAAAGAAGCACTCCAAGTCAGAGACTTAAATCAATCAATTGCGGTGACGGCCATACAACACGGACTTCCACCCTTCCCCATTCAACTTCTCCATCTCCAAGAATCCTCCTCAAACGTTGGGCGTGCTAATGAGCCACTCATAGAAATATATCAGCGCTGAAGAGGCCCAGGCGCAACTTAGAGATGAGGATGAGAAGTTCGATAGAAAAAGGAGAGAGAGCGACAACCGGAAATCCGAGAGGTCAGACAAAGACCACAAGAGACAAGATCGATGAGCCAATCATAGACCACGCACCCCTCCGCCAACCTATCGGAATTTCACGCCACTTAATATTTTGCGGTCTGAAATTCTGATGCAAATCCGTGACCACAAGTACGTTAGGTGGCCCAAGAAGATGAAGACGCAAAGTAACAAGAGGAGTCGAGACAAATATTGTGAGTTCCACAAGGACCACAGCCACGATACGGAGAACTGTTTCAACCTATGCAACCACAACGAATATCTAATTAGGTGTGGTTACCTCTGTAGTTTCATAGACAGAAAGGAGAAGTCAACCGAAGAGGAACGAAGAGCGGATGAAGCTCGGTAACACCCCCCCCTCCGAGGCCCCCCAGTTGGCATCATCCACATGATACTAGGAGGAACCTCCTCCAGAGGGGAAAGCATGTTGGAACGGAAAAGATATGCTCTGCTATGCGAGATCGACGACCGAGGTCACAGGAGGAGGTGTGACATGTCTATCGCCTTCACAGACGACAACCTTCGAGGGGTCCAGATGTTGCACGACGACACCTTGGTCATCACAGCCGAAGTGGCCAACTTTGAGCTACAGCGGATCCTAATTGACACAGGGAGCTCTACCGATGTGCTATTTGAAGATGCATTTGAAAAGCGCAGCCTTGATAGAGAACGGCTTACACCAATTAACACTCCCTTGATGGGATTT